TAGAACCAACAAACTAGTCGACGGCTGCTACTCCTTCTGGAACGGCGCCGTCATTCCCATCGTCCAGTCGTGGCTGGGCGCCAAAGGTAAGTGCATCTTTTAGAATATGACCTCATTCTCATATTTCTTCCCAAATTAGAGAACAAGCCCTTCCCCTCTGGCTGGCTCCTCGATGCGGCCGCCCTGCAGCAGTACATCCTTGCCTGCTGCCAGCACCGCCGCGGCGGCCTCCTCGACAAGCCCGGCAAGAGCCGCGACTTCTACCACACCTGCTACACACTGTCCGGCCTCTCCGTGGCGCAGCACTCGCCCGCCGAGGACTCGCCCCTGGTGCTGGGGCCCTCAGAAGAGGAGGGTGGTGGTGATAACGAGGTGGAGAAGGTCCATCCGCTCTTCAACGTCACCCTGGGCGCGCTGGAGGGCGCGCGCCAGTTCTTCTTTGACCACCGAGAGGAGGCCGCAGAGGTTCAAGAGGAGGAGGGTGAAGAAGAAGGTGATCAGACAACGTCAGAGCCTATGGAGGAGAAGGAGGTTTAGCACAAGACCGGAGATTATAATCATTAGAAGGAGGAGGGGACACACNTGAAGAGGAAGAAGAGGGTGATCAGACAACGTCAGAGCCTATGGAGGAGAAGGAGGTTTAGCACAAGACCGGAGATTATAATCATTATGAGAAGGAGGATGGGACACACTTACGAGAAGCTTTACTTATTCTTGAAGAGCCTTCATTTTCATAACAATAATAAAAAGACGCCTTTCCCTTTGCTACTAACGACGTTTATACAACAACAGAATTTCGGTTTAAATACATACAACTGTAGAACGATCCTCTTTTTCTTCTTCTACAAGTCCCCACGGACCTTGAAGCCCGGCCCGGTGGGCGGCGTGTTGAGCGAGGTGAGCCCTCCCGCTGGTTCGCAGCTGAAGCGACCGCTCCGCGCCGACGGCCCCGGCTTCGGCTTTCGCCCTGCCTTCAGCTCGCCGATGATCGCCTTCACGTCCTCGGTGGTCAGGTCCTCGTAGTAGTCGTCGTTGACGGAGAGCATCGGCGCGTTGACGCAAGCGCCGGCGCACTCCACCTCGCCGACGGTGAACTGGGCGTCGCCCTGGCAGGCGTCCTTCACCGCGGCGAGGATCTCCTCGGCGCCGCGCAGCATGCAGGGCGTCGTCGTGCACACCTGGACGTGGTATTTGCCTGGCGGTGGTGGATGAAATGGATTTAAGAGTCAGGCAATTTCTAAAAGCAGCCGCAAAATAGAACCCACCGACGGGCGTTCGGTTGAACATGGTGTAGAAGGTGGCCACCTCGTAGACGCGCATTCGCGGCATGCCAATGTAGTCGGCGACGTAGTTCATGGCCTTCAATGGGAGCCAGCCTGGGATAAAATGGATGATGACTTTAGAATGATTTAGAAACAGAAAAGCTCTCACCATGCTGACGCTGAGCGAGATCGAGCAGCGGAATGACCGCCGCGCTTCGGTACTCTGTCGGGTAGTTCTGCAGAATCGCCTCGGCTCGCTGAATAGAACAGAAAGTAGAAGCAGATTAGATATAGATCGCACTGCAATTCCAAATAAAGTAACCGTACCTTCTTGTTGGTGGCGTCAAACTCAAAGGACTTCACGTCCTGGTCGGCTTCTCGGTGCACAAAGAGGGCATCACTGAGGTGGCGTTTGGAGACGGTGCTGATGGCAGGCAATGTGAAGGAGGAGGAAGAAGTCGTCGAAGCCGTCATCGTCGTCGTCGCCAGACGGCCCAAGAAGCGGGGCACAATTCGAGAGAACATCGTGCTGGGGCCCTGCTGAAGAGGA